CAGCTGAAAAACAAACTGTTGGACACTAACGTTGTTTGAATAAATGATCGTTTTGGTTTTGAAGCTAAAAACAATTTCTAAATAAAATAAATTTTAAAAACAATAAAAAACAAAACAATCAAAATACATCTTAAATATAATTAACAAACAAAAAAAAATTAAAAAATTCCAAAAACAAATCAAATTCTAACAAATTCACATTCTTCTTTATTTCCCTAAATACACACTATTTTTCTTACTTAAAACAAATTTTAAGAAACAAAACAAAAAAAAACAATCAAAAAACATCTTAATACGATTAACAAACAAAAAAAATAAAAAAATTCAAGCAAAAAATACAAAACAAATTCTAAAAAATTCACATTTTTTCTTTTCTTCTCTAAATACACACTATTTTCTTTTTTGGGATATTTTGTCATTTTTAATTAAAAATAAAACACAACGCCAAACACAGCAAAATTCAAAGCTGCGGACAGACAAACAGACAACAATTCTAAAATTTAATATAGGATTCTAAAGTACTTTGGGCATGGAGTAACTTGGGCTTGGGCTTGCAATATTTTATATAAAATGAGAGATGACTTTATTTGCTTATAACACAACATTTATAAAAATTACATACAGCTAAAACTCCAAATTAATTCCCATTTAAAATCATAAATAATTCCTCTAAATTTAGTCATAAACATTTGAATATTTTGGGGTTTTTTAATAAATACATCATCAGAATTTACTAATTCATGATATAATCCATTTTCATAAATTATTTCCAAAAAACTATTTTCTAAATTTTCAGCTTTTTCTTTAACATCTTTTGCCAAATTTAAGATTTTTTTGTAAAATTGTTTTGCTTCTTTAGGCATAAAATGAATTTTTCCATTAATTTCCCATTTCCCCCCACATTTTTCTTCATTTTTTTCAGCAATTAGTTCTCTAATTTGTTCAATTTTTTCATTTTGTTCATCTTCATTTTTTAATTTTATCCTAAATAACAAATTATTTATCTCGGACCAGTTAAAATTATTTAAAATTTTATAAATCAATCTTAACTCCCTCTGTTCTTGGAAATACGGGCATTGGTAAACATGAAACAAGACTGTTATGTCTGTCCGAGACTAACAATATTTTACTCTCAAATTTACTTGAGGAAATAATTTTATTTCTTTTTATTCTAACTCTTAATTAATGAGGACAACAATTTATTTAATATTTTATTTTAGTTTTAAGTTTAGTTCAATTGAAGGTCCAAAATGTATAAAACAAATGGGTATTTATATGGGTACAAGCAGGCGGGGATTGAGTATGTTTGGAATGAAAAAGTTTGATAAATAAAATAGTTAATTTTATGAGGGAAATATTTGAAAGTAAGTTATTAAGGAACAAAGAGAGGCAAATATTGTGAGGTGAAACATTTGAATATGATAAAGGAAAGGTTTTAGTTTAAGAAATTATTTTACATACATAAAGAAAGGAAATATATAGATTATGTGTTGGGGGAAAAGTTTAATGTAAAAAGGTCAAAAATATTTAAAATAATATTTGAATAAACGATAGCTCAGACACATTAAAGACAAATCCCAAATAATTCACAGCATGACCTAGATTTGCATTAGAGTTCCGGCTCAAGAACTTATAAAGATCCGATTACAATTAAAGATTTTGTTGTGATATTATAAATTAAAAACCAACAAATTCACTCTTTGTTCATTAAAAATATGAATTTTTCTTGCATGCAGTATAGCCTTTAACGTTAACTCATTCAGTCCAAAATATCTTTCTAAATTTTTTGCGGAGATATTTCCGTATAAATGTAATACACACAATCCTTGAATAAAAGTTTCCTAAATTAAAAAAATTTACTAACGGAAAACTTTAAGAGTAGGATCGGAAATTCTGAATACTCTGAAAATTCTGATCAATTTTCAAAATACCTCTATTTCATTTTTTGATCTATAAGTTTGCTTGTGTTGTTCAAATGCCTTTTTAAATTCAGAATAATCTTTCAAATAATTATCAAGAATCTTATTTTGTGTATCGGCATCTAAATAAAATTCTCTTTTAATTTCTATTTCGTTTCCAAATATTTTATTTTGACAATTATTTATCTGAGTCCTTTTGTTCTTTGCCCATAAATTTTTTTGACTAGTAGAAGTTCCTTCGATTCCTTCATTATTTGTCTTGTTTGAATATCTTTGTTTCTTTCTTTCCTATATTAAAATTCATTATTAATATTGCCGATATCAAAAACGTTTTTTGAGATTTCCCAACAGAATTTACAAGCACAGTTTTATTATACTAAGTCTTTGATGTGGATTAAACTGCTAAATCCACAGAATCACACAATCAGTGAATACTTTAAGGCGAGATAATACTATTTCATACTTTGCTCCAAGTAGCGAAAATTCACAGAGTGTTGCAAAGAATGCCACGAATGCCATTCCTACTCGTTTAAGCAACGATTGGGATTACAAGGATTTTGGAGTAACCCCGTTCGATCATTTATAACCTCGATCTTATCTCGGAGGTTTGCGGCGCATGTCTCGGCGACTCCAATAGGCTTGATGTAAAGTCCGAAGGTTGTCCGAGGTTTACCAATACCGACGTGGACAGGAATAAAGTTTTATCCGATTTAGAAATGTAAAATGTATGTGAAGTTAGTCTCAAATATGTTTCTAGAATATATGGAGATAATAAACTTTATTCTTATTTTAATCTAATGATTGTTGTGTCCTTGCAGAAAGAATATAAATGAAAATAAATAACTCAGCATTTGGTTGGATGGTGGCACAGTCGGTTGTGCTTCGGTTTGGGCTCTTTCCGTGATGGTTCAATTTTATCTCCTATCCAAACAATTTTTCCACCACAGCATGAAAACATCGTATGTTATAATGATAAAACACGATAAAATGCCTTTTTTCTTTCTATCAGTAGTTTGAATCAAAATTAATGTTCCTATACAATCAAACATTATATATGGTCAATCTCTTAACTAAGAACGCAAACTGGTTACCTTCATTATTTTTAATTTTTTTCCTTACCTTCAAAGTGCCAAAATTTAAATTAAAAATATAATGTGGAATTAAAAATATAAAGTGATACCTTCAATATATCAGAATCTTCTGATAATGAAGTTTCAGATCCTTCAGAATTATATTCCTCTTCAGAAGAATCATTTGCAGCAACAGAATAAAGTAAATAAAGAATTAAATTTAATAAAAACAAATTAAATTTATTTCTTAGCATTACTTTAAAAATTAATTTTTAAAAAATATATTATTTAAAAATTTTAAATTTTTTTAATATTTCAAAATTTTAAAATGGCAAAGATAAATTATTAAACGGCAAACCAAAGGTGGATATATACAGATGCGCTAAATAATCTATTAAATTATTCTAGGTTAAAATTGAAAAAGGGCACTCGTTGATAGAGGGCAAAGTTAATAGTACTATATCATGCGAAAATGTCAATAAGTCACTAATAAGAATGAATAATAAAAAGTACAACGCAAGATAGTTTTGCGTTGCTGTACTCTGAACAAAGTATTTTATTATAAGTAATGCTAATTTATTTTAATTTTTTATTTTTCTTTTAATTTTTTATTAATACAAGTAGTATATACTGGTCTTATGAAACAAAATCAAAAAAACATTTTTGTTTTAATACCAACGGCAGAAAGTTCTTGCATATTTGAACTCAGCTCGGCGAGATGAATAGAATGGTATATATCTTGAGTTTCGATCTCGGTGGAGCTATACTAAAGCGACACCGTCTTTTATTTTTGAAAGGCATTATGCCAGCTTTCCTTATACCCTCCCCCCCCATCCAAACAAAATCAAAAAAACATACCCCATCACACATACCCCATCATTCTCTTTCTCTACTCCATCAATATTGAGTGGAGGAAGGGATAGTGGAGGACTCATCACCGTGCCTCTCAACTCACCATGCCATCCTCTCTCCCCCATTTTTTATTTTTGAAAGGCATTATGCCAGCTTTCCTTACTCCCACCTCCCCACATCCCATCACTCTCTTACCTTTTCCATCCCCGGCTGTAGTTTAGTATATACCCACCGAGATCGAACTCAAGTTTATACCATTCGATTCGTCTCGCCGAGCTGAGTTCAAATATGCAGGAATTTTCTGCCGGAGACGAAAACTCGCAGAGATACAGGCGATTGAAAATCGACAAACCATAGGGGGGAGTAAGTAAGCTCAACAATAGAGCAGCTGTTGACAGGAATACGGACCATCAAGGAAGGAGCAGCAGTGAAGTGAGCTTTTCAACATCAAATAACACAACTCCGTCAAAAAAGTATATTTTCCACACAAAACTACTACAAATAAAGGTGGTTTGGAATAAGGACAAAAAATGGCAAAAAAGGAAACTTTGAATAAAATAAATTTTTACCAAGACTAAAACTATATTTAGAATAAAAATAAAACATGAATTGTCAATTTCGTAAAAAATGATACCCGAACTCTTGACCCGAAATGCAAATTTTTTGACCCGAAACACGTACCCGAAATGAAAACGCTCCAACCCGATACCCGAAGACCGATTGGGAATATCAGGGAATTTTGGTGGTTTAGTTTAACTTAAGCTAAAGCTTCGGTTGATTAGTAAGTTATGTTAAAAGAAAAATTTGATGGAACCGCCAACCCTACTTAAAATGAAAATTTTTCAAATTTAATGGTAAAATTTTTTATAGTTCCGGGTTCGACCGGAACCGAGAAAAAGTTCAGGTTCCGCTTCCGAATTCGGAACTCAAATTCGATCCTGTTCTAGCTCCGGCTCCGTTTAAAATTTCGGTTCCGATAAACCCAACAAATAGGCTTGGATTCTTAATTTCCTTTTTGGGATAATTGTTGGGTGGGGGGGGGGGGGGGGGTGGGGAGGTTTGGAAGAGAAGGGAGTTTTGGTAGTAATAATCTTTAAAAACCCCAAAAAATAAAAAATAATCCTTGAAATAAATCTGTAATTGAATTTCGTCTTTCTGAATAAAATATTCTTTCTAATTTCTTTTCAAACGATCAACAACAACATTCAATTCTCCATCAATATAATTTTCTATAAATTCCTCAACTTTTCTTGTTATCATTTTCTTTGTATTTTCCGAATACTTTTCATTTAATTCTAAATTATAAAATTCCTCAGGTTTCTTATTATATTCGTTAAATAATTTAATTAAAATATAAGCAAGTTTAATATTTTCCCCTTTCTTTGTCTCCAGATAATCTATTTCAGTACTTGAATAAAAGAATTTGAGGAAATTTTCATTCTTAGTCATTGAATTTAAAAATTCGAGTAATAAACGAAATAATAGAAGATCACAAATTTTGTTAGCGGATCCTTCAGCGTTGTGAACATAAATGCTTGACCTTTCTAGAAATTTGATAATATATTAAAATAAAGTTAAATATAACAAACTTGATTGCTAATTAACCCTAAATATCGTATTTATAAAGTCAGATCCTTCTTTAAGAGAAAGAAAGCTCTGCGGTACCTTGTCTTGCTCCCGCAAGCATTAATAAAAATAAGAACTCGCTGTATTTACTTATAACTAGATCTGTGATTTTTGGCATCAGGTATAAAGCACAAAAACCTTTTCAAGCTTGTTTTTAAAACTTTAGAGGGGTATAAACCTCAAAAGTTTAGAAAATTCATTTCTAAAAATTACATACTTTTAAAACTCCAAATTAATTCCCATTTAAAATCATAAATAATTCCTCTAAATTTAGTCATAAACATTTGTATATTTTGTTTCTCTCCCTCTATTTTTACATCAGCAGAATCTAAAAATTCAGAATACCATTTATTTCTTTTAATTATTTGCAAGAAATCGTTTTCTGAATTTTTATTTTCTTCTACATCTCTTGCCAAATTTAAAATGTTGTTAAAGAATTTTTTTGCTTCTAATGGACGGAAATGAATTTCTCCATTAAATTCCCATTTTCCCCCACATTTTTCTTTACTTTTTGCAGCAAGTAATTCTGTAATTTGTTCAATTTTTCCATTTTGTTCATCTTCATTTTTAAATTTTAATCTAAATATTAAATTATTTATTTTATCTAAATAAAATAATTTAAAATTGTATAGATCAATCATAACTCCTTTTTTCAGAAATACGGCCATGGTTAGATACGGCCATTGTCAACTTATATCATGACAGCTCTCTCTATCTATCTTCTATCTTCAAGAAGCTTTTAAGCACACACACAAGAGTTTATCTTCAAAAGAATAAGCAAATTAGACTAAGATATATTGGAGTATACACACATGAAAGAAAGCTGCATTGAAGCTATGAACTTCTATAGTGACTCAAATGTTAAATAAAAAACTGTAGTTTAAAAGCACAAATAAAAAAACAAGCAAATCCATAATAATTCACAGCATTCAAAATTTTTTAAAAATATTATAAATTAAAACTAACGGTTTTCCTCCTATATCATTAAAAATATGAATTTTTCTTGCATGCAGTATTCCCTTTAAAAATACACGATCCATTTTAAAATATGTTTCTAATCTTTTTGCGGGGATATTTCCATATAAATGTAATACACACAATCCTTGAATAAAAGCCTCCTAAATTTAAAAAAATTATTAACGAAAAACTCCAAGAGTAGGATCTGAATATCCGATAAATCGTTAGATCAATTTTTACAAATTAAGTTTCAATCATTTTCTAGATTTACAACATCAGTGTAATAGTTCTCATCGGCAATTAATTTTCAAAATTAATTTTTGTTATCAATTATGAGCGTATTTGAAAGTCAATTAATTCCTCTGGGGAATTATTTTTCCAACCCATCCGTGGCATGGCAATTGTTCAAGGGAGGGGAATTATCGAGTTTTGAAATTTAAACGTGTAGTAGGGTATTTGGGGGAGGATTTTTTTTAAAATCTTGGTTATCCTCAAACCTCGACCTCGATCTCAGCTTTTCCAGCCTCGGTGATCATTGGTCTCGATTTTTTCAAAAAACCTCGACCTCGACCTAATCCAATTAAAATACCTCTATTTCATTTTTTGTTGATCTATAAGTTTGCTTATAACGTTCAAATGCCTCTTTAAATTCAACATTCTCTCTCATATAATTATCAAGAATTATTTTCTGTGTATCTGGATCTAAATAAAATTCTCTTTTTATTTCTATTTCGTTTCCAAATATTTTATGTTGGCCTTCTTTTATCTGATCCAATTTGTTCTTTGCCAATATATTTTGCAGACTAGTTGAAGTTCCTTCCATTACTTCATTATTTGTCTTGTTTGAATATCTTTGTTTCTTTCTTTTCTTTTTTTCTTCCTTATTTGTTTCGTTTGAACATCTTTGTTTTCTATCTCCCTTTATTAAAATTACGGGTAATTATTTCGGATATGAAAAAAAGCTTTCAAGATTTCCCAACATAGTTTCCCAGCACATATTTTAGTATGACTAGTCTTTAGTGCTCAGTAAACTGCTAAAAACCATAGAATTAGGGTTTCGGAATTTGAGGCATTTTTTGAAAATCTTCTTAATAGTTTTTATAAAATTAATAGTTCTAAACACCTGTTAGACATGTTAAAAAGTTTTCGAAAATATCATAATTTTAAAAAACGCCGAAGCTTTCAGCTGAGAAAAAATTAAGCTCTTTTTTATCATTAAGAACTCCCAAATCTGATAACGATGAACGGAATTACACAAAAGTTACACTTTTCTTAAATAATTACCGCAACTGTAGTTCGTAAATTTAAATTCTGCTCTACAAACATTCATAGAGTGACTAATAGGAAAAATGCACAGTAAATTAGAAATATAATGTGATACCAGTAGTATCTAATAGGATTTTATTCCATAAAAATACTTTTTAAAAATGATTTTATTACACTTTTTAGGGAGGAAAATAAATACTAAAAAATAAAAAGGCTATAGAGAATAATTGCGAAGGTTTAAATACCTCGTCACTCCATTAACACTTGATACAAGTAAAAAACAATTTTAAAAAATTTTAAAATGTAAAAAATTTTAAAAAAATTTACTTAAAACCCCCACTTAGAAAATCAATTAAAACCCCACTTAAAAAATTGTAAAAGAATTTAAAAAATTTAAAATTTTATAAAAAACCCCCACTTAAAAAATCAATTAAAAACCACTTAAAAAATATAAAATTTTAAAATTTAAAAAATTTAAAAAAGTTCACTTAAAACCCCCACTTAGAAAATCAATTAAAACCCCACTTAAAAAATTTTGAAAAATTTAAAAAATTAAAAAAATTTAAAAACCCCCAGACCCCACTTAAAAAATTTTAAAAAATGTAAAAAATTAAAAAAATTTAAAAACCTCCACTTAAAAATCCAATTAAGGACCCCACTTAAAAAATTTTAAAAAATGTAAAAAATTAAAAAAATTTAAAAACCTCCACTTAAAAATCCACTTAAGAACCCCACTTAAAAATCAATTAAAAACCACTTAAAAATTTATAATTAAAAAATTTTAAAAAATTTTACTTTAAAACCCCACTTAAAAAATCAATTAAAAACCACTTAAAAATTTATAATTAAAAAATTTTAAAAAATTTTACTTTAAAACCCCACTTAAAAAATCAATTAAAAACCACTTAAAAATTTATAATTAAAAAATTTTAAAAAATTTTACTTTAAAACCCCACTTAAAAAATCAATTAAAAACCACTCAAAAATTTATAATTAAAAAATTTTAAAAAATTTTACTTTAAAACCCCACTTAAAAAATCAATTTAAAACCACTTAAAAATTTATAATTAAAAAATTTTAAAAAATTTTACTTTAAAACCCCACTTAAAAAATCAATTAAAAACCACTTAAAAATTTATAATTAAAAAATTTTAAAAAATTTTACTTTAAAACCCCACTTAAAAAATCAATTAAAAACCACTCAAAAATTTATAATTAAAAAATTTTAAAAAATTTTACTTTAAAACCCCACTTAAAAAATCAATTTAAAACCCCACTTAAGGACCCCCCCCCCCCCCCCCCCACTTAAAAAACCACTTAAAAAATTTAAAATTTTCTAATTGAAAAAATTTAAAAAAATTTCAAAAATTTTCAATTAAAAAACAACAACCATTTAAAAGGGGGGGGGGCTGTTAGAGTTTTATTTCAAAAATAATTTTTATAAAAAATTATCAATTTATTAATTAAAATAATGGATAAAAAATATTAAAAATTTATAAAAAAATAATAATTTAATATTAATTGAATAATAATATTAATTTATTAATGAAAAAATTTATTAAAAAATATTAAAAATTTATAAAAATATAAATGCAATATTAATTTATTAATAAAAATAAATTTAATAAAAATAAATTTAATAAAAATAATACAAAAAATATTAAAAAATAATATTAATTTATTAAATAAAATAAGAAAATAAAGAAAAATCGAGAGCTTAAATACCACTGAATTTCGAGGAGCATTAAAGCACTTAAGGTAATGGTATACAATGAAGAGAAAGGCACGTGTCTAATGGACGACATGCGCGAGGTTAATGGGCTGTGTAATAAAAGGGATGAGTAAGCGATCACTCAAAGAGATAATAGAAGGGAAAAGAGTTAAGTGGTTTTAAGTTAATGGGTTGGATTAATTAATGGGTTTTAGGTTAATGGGTTTTATTACACAATACGCATCCATTAAAATAAATTAGGTGCAGAAGGGGGATAAGTGTCGATCAAAGTACATTGAGTTCTCTAGTATAAAAACTGGTGAGTTTTCCGCATTTATCATCATTTTTAAAACATAATCCTCAGAGCGATAACAAGCTCCAACCTTCCCTTAGTTCATTAAATTTATTTTTATAAAAATTATCCAACATTTGCTTATATCATTAAATTTATTTGTATAAAATTGTATTGTAATTTATTTCATATAAATTTTTTATCCTTGTAAATATAAAAAATAATTTTTATAACGAGAATTTAAATATAATATTTTAAATAAAAATTTATTTAATACTCCAAATAATTTTCTACGACTCTTAAGCCTTTTATTAACAAATAAAGTTTATTTTTCGTAAACAACAAATGGCAGAAAAAATGACAGCCAAAATGCAAGGCAGGGAATAAAACATTTTTATGATAATAACTCATAAATGCATTTATTTTCTGAAGGTGGTGATGAACATGAGGAAACCCGTCTCTACAGCGGAAACAGTTGTGACAAAGGTAAGTAAAGGCTCAATTAGTGGAAAGAATAACAATTCAGAAATTGATCTTTACTTAAGGTGATGAAATTGAAGAACTTAGTGCAATTGAGCTCGAAGAAATCCGTGGCTTCATACGAGAGCAAAAAAGGAAGAAAAACGCTGTAGAAGCACGCCGCAAACGCTCTTTAACTACGACTTCAAGCTCTGGGAAATCAGTAGTGTGTCATCCACCTGTCCCAAAGAAAACAAAAGCACCTACTAAAAAGGTAAGATTAGTAAAAGTTTATTAAAGATTTGCAGAAGCAGGTTGGTGAGAAATGGTCAAATGCCATAAACAATGATGAAGAAGAAGAACAATCAGATGAACCCGATAAAGACGAAATAATTGATCTAGGAAAGGATGAGGAAGAGTATAAACTACTTCGCCATGAGCAAGAAGATAAAAACCGTAAGATTTTTTAAACTGGCCAATTAATTGAATGTTCCAGGATTTTACAAAACTTTGCCGCAGCAGTTGTTAGTTCAATCGGATATGCTTAGAAATCCCAGAAAAGGGATTTTCGTTCACCAATGTAATAATTGTAAAGAACAACAGATGCGTAGAGAAGAATATCTCTTCAAGGGAGGAGAAAGTGGAATATTTGTACTAACAATAGAGTTGTGCGGTGATGATTTGGACAAAAATATTGCTCTTGCTGATTTCTATGGGCAAAACTGGGGTAGGCAAAAAATTAACTTTATTGTTTCAAATTTAAGGAGAGCGGGCGAATGGAAAAACAGAAGAACACGTGGAAGGGGGCTCACAAACACAAGATTCTTTGGAAAAAGGTAATTAAAAATAATTACTAAAAAGAGTTCTTTAGTAGAAGGCGTTTTGTACTATACACTTGGGGAAAGCTGTCAAACCGATGGAGACAGAAAACTATTACGCTACAAATATGCATGGATAATACATCAGGTGGAAAATTACATAACGATTTTACTAAAAATACTTTTAGTGCAAGAAATGCGAATTGATTCAGAAAAGCCAAGCTCGGGATTTGTTTCTTCAAAAGCTCGGCCTTGCGTTCGATAGGGGAGTCATGTATGCACTCAATTTCATAGTAAATAATATTATTTTAAATAAAATACTAATAATTTTAGTGCTGCTCTGGATGCCGTGTTTTGAACAGAGATTTCCATGGAATGATAAATAAGAAGTTTAACAATTTTTCGAAATGATTCATTTCAGTGTCGATAAATCTTAAAAAATAATAAGCTATAACTATTCTGTTTTACCCAATTCATTATCTCTTAAATGTTGTATTAATAGTTAATAATCATTTTAACAATTTTTAAGAAACAATACACATGGCCCATAACATCAAAAAATATTTTAGAGAGGATTCAATTGAACATATTCGAAGTAATCGTTTCAAAATTGGGGTCTTCAGGTACATTTATAATTGAAAAATAAATAAAATTTTTATTCTTAGGGCATCCTTTACAGTAATCAATGCGGATGAAGCTCCACAAGGGAGGGAATTAATTGACCACTTTTATGTCCGCGCATATCAAGCTGCAGGGGCAAAATCTCAAAAGTGTTCAATTATTATTCGAAGCGCCGTGTTGGAGAGACCTATCCAAGTTCCGTATCGTGGACTTGCACAGAACACACCGCAGGTAGTAATGGAACAGTTCGACACCGTTGATCAAAGTGGCCAACGCATGGGAAGACCTTCTATTTACAGCCAGCCGATTAACATCGAGGTACATTTTTGTAACATTTTTAAATTCAAATCTTAAAGATTGTTATGGGGCCTTCACATGAAGAAGCGCTCAAATTGTCACGAATGGAACGTGGAGGAAGCGGGCGAAAAAGAAGAGAGATACATCATGGAATCGATGTTAATAATCTTATTCCTGTATGAAAAATATTTAAAAATTTATAAAAACTTATTTTAGGTAAAAAATGAAGATTTACCCGCTCCATATAATCGACATTGCTTGCTTCTGGCTGTTCAACTTACAATGTTATATATTTCCAAACCAAACACAACGACAGGCAATGTTCAATTTCTAAGATTGACACAAGGATGTGGCGAAAAGTCAAAGCATAAAAGGACACTCCTAATTAAAGAAATGCTTTCTCAAATGAAACAACACAAAGTTCCATATCCTATTAAGGAGAAAATATACAACGTCGATGAACACGTTC